GCTTAGAGAAAACGTTATGAGCGGATCACAGTCGATCCGGAACGTTGCAATAGGTTCCGTACTTTTTGGTGGTGGTGCATTAATGCGTCGTCTGTATTCAATATATTCTTGTTTGAGGTAATTATTTACCTGTTTGCTCTAAATAAACGTTTTTACTAACACTTTTAAGTATGTTATGCTTAATGTATTACTTTACTCGTCAATTAAAATGTCGGTGAATTTCGTCTATACTTACCAATTTTTGTCTTTTTGTTCTCATTTTTCGAAAGTCTGAATTAAGCAGATTGTGCACGTATTTTTTATTTAAATAGGCATAATGCTTGAATTCTCATTGGTCGATCAATAAATTATCACTTCCCCATTGTTTTCTAAAACAAATGGCTTCTCAATACGTTAAATGCATAATAGCTGGAGGATTTACACTAGGGTTTGGATATTTACTAATGAAAGTTGTTACACCGACTAAAGAACAACTTTACGAGGTTAAATTTTTTATTTTATTTACTTTATTGTGATTCTGAAAAGTTGAAATTAACGATTTTTCTAATTATGTTAAAAATGTTAAAATTGCTATAAATTCAATTCACTACGATTCACTACGATCTACGAATTAATTAAAAAGAAATTATCACCGGACTTAAAACATAAAATCGACTCTCAAGAACAACGTGAAAATAATGTTGCTGTAATGGAATTAATGAAAAAAGTTGCAGAATCAGATAAACCAAGTTCGTTCTTTCCCGTTTTACTATTTTTTATCTTGTACAAATATTTAAATTATTTTTTTTTACTTTACTTTTACTCAATTGCAAGTATACGACCAATATCAACTTCGGGAATTACAAAAGGAAATTAATAAAGGATAAATTGTTTTTTCTAGATATGTGTAAGATGTGTTAAATATCAATAATTAAACAAGTTCAAAATTTTTATTTGTTATTACCACCAAATCTCCTTAAGGGGAAGTTAAGGCTCTGCACGATCCAGACACGAGCACAATGTTTTAATAGTTTCAGACGTGTTGTGTGTCCGGGTACCATTTTTTAATAGTCCGTGCCTGGCATTTACAGAGTCTTAAATATGAATCTTAAAGCCACCTCACATTTGAAATGATTAATTCAATATTATTTTGAAACCAATCACTAGGACTAATACTCATTTGAAAATCACTTCTCAATTGATTTTTAAACTTTTTCTTATATAACCATGATAAGGGCCATAAAATTAACCAAAGACATGTGATAATTGATATAAATTTTACCCAAGGATTTCTTAAAAAATGAGCCAACTTATGATCAGATTGAACTTTAACAATGTGATTACGAAGTGGATAAGTGATACGAATGTCATTTCGAAATCCTTGTTGTCGAATTGTTGAAGAGATTGCTCTTGTTAACGATTCATAATCCCAGATTACAACCTAGTTTTAAATAATTTTTTCAGATTCAGAAAAATAGCAATAAAAAATATAAAAAATTAAAATTAATTAAATAAATTAAGACTAATGATAAAGAACATACCTTCCGCATCTCAATTTCTTTTAAAAGATTTTCGTGTTCGACATATTCCCTCAAAATCTGCATGATCTCTACTGGTGGATGGTTTTTTTTCGGAATCGTGTACATAACTCCTGTGGGTAAAATATAATTTGAAAGGTCTATAGTCAACTTAAAATCAATAACCTCCACGTTTCTTGATTGATCAACTCGACGAGAATTCCCATCTGAATCAGTAGTATAATAACTATCATCTATTGATTCTGTGTGATAACCCTTTGATAAAAATATTAAATCGGTCTTTATCGCTAATCATTTTTGAAACAATAGAAATAGATAAAAAAAAAAAAAAAAATACCACAACAGTTATCGCCATTTGAGGTTTGTCATTCCTCGCCACAAAAAATCTATATAATGATTCAGCATCTGTATTCAATTTATGATCAAAAGAAGTAACACCTTCGGTACTGGTTTTATAGGATGCATCAGACAATGAATATTCAGGAAGTGGTGGCATCATTGCAGGTACAGATGTCCCAACTGATGATGTAATTGTTCTATTAGTAGACGAATTATCATCATGATTATATTGGTTGCCCTTATTTGAAATATGGTTTGATTTATCAGTGCTAGAACCAGTTGTATTATCGGGCAAAAGAGGTGCATGCTCTGAGACAATTTCTTGATTTTCTTCAGGGAAAACTAAAACTTCTTCAAGAGATTGTGATACTGAACGAGCTACAGGTGTTATAACAATGCTTGAAGGATTTACAGAGTTTCTGACTGCCTCCTCATAACTTGGTAACGTTGTGTTTGCTGTAGTTTGTTGAATTAGTGATGTTGACGATGAGTCACTATGTCGCGTATTCGTTGCACTGAAAACGAAGACATAGTCCGAGTTATCAGTCATGATGATCAAGGTGAACGCAAAATTTTAGATTGAAAGTTGCTGCATATTCTACATTTGAAAAAATTAAAAATTCTGACAAGCATTGATGTCAAAATTATCTAAAATTTCCTAATTAAGTTACAATTAAATTTCGATACATCTTATTATATATTTTTTGAGTACAATCAAGATTTACATGTAACGTTCATAGGCAGACATTCGTATGATTGGTAGTTTAAATCTACATTATTTATACAGTTTAAAGTACTTTTTAAAAAAATAAAACTACTACGAATAAACAAAAAAGAAGTATATAGAAAGTCTTATTGAGGTTGTAGGACTCCACTATCAAAAATAATCAAAATTCTTTTTTGTTTTAGAGAAGTTAGCATAATAGCGA